TTCATGCTCACATCCCCTTTATGGTATCTTATTATTCTCAGTTCACAGAAAAAGAAACTAAGGCAGAGAAGCCAACTTGCCCCAAATCACTGAGCTAGTAAGTGACAGAATCCAGGAGCCGTGTTCTTAACACTGCTCCATGTTGCCTCACACACAGGACCTGCATGTTTACGCTCATATCCAGTCTAGCTCGGTGATTTTAAGGCAGGTATTTAATGTCCCTTGGTCTCCGTTTTCTCGTCTATAAGATGGAAGAAATAGTCCCTGACTCTTCCAGTTGTTGGGAGAATCAGATGGGAACATATATGTAGAACACTCGCATAATGGCTGACCCATAGAAGATGCCCAGCCAATGCTTCCTTTCACTTCTGCGTACTCATCAGTACCAGGGATAACCGGCTCCCTAATTGGCTAGACCACCCTGGGTCTGGGGATCCCAGAGATGCTAAGTGAACTGCAGTGAAGATGACCCTATAGTTGTGTTCACTCCTATATGAGCTGTAGGTAGTGACCCATTCGTGAGTTATGAAATCAAGTTAATGAGATGTGACCTTCATTTGTTTTTTTAAAAAGGAGGCAAAAAGAATGGGCCATAACAAAGAACACAGTACATAAATAGTATTAATAGTTTAATAAAAACATTTCTTTTAGCATTATGTGTATGGTCCATATATTGACTGGGTCATGATAATGAAGAATGTATTTCTTATTTTGAGTAAAAACTTGTAAAGGTCTCTGGGTGAACTCATCTAAGACAGCAAAGAATCAATTCAGATATCCTTGCATTAATTAGGAAGCAATAAAAATTCCAGGCTTTTCTAGAGATTGCTTTTCACATCACACTGCAGTGTGACCTGTCTCACTCACTAGACCTGATTCTCCCACACACCCCCTCCCCCTCCGCCAGGGAACACGACTTTGACTCCTGGGTCCTCAGTGTCCATTATAAGTCCTGGCTCAGAATATACACTCAAAAAAAAAAAAAAAAAAAAGTGCTCGATGAATATATAAATAAATCATGGCAACTGCCTTTTAGAACCAAATTCACAACAGAGAGGTTATTCACTTGAACTCTCCAAATCAATACCTTTTATTAAGACATGGACATGGGCCAACTTTCCCTTTCACAGCCTTTCCGGTGACCTTTCATTCCCCATTAGAAGACTTACCTGCTTTCCTTTCTTCCCCTCCCCATTCTCTTCCCTTGCCACAGGTTATTGAGCTCTCTCTTATCAGAAGAAAGGATCTTTCCTTAGCAATTTGCACTTTTATGTGACTTTAATCCCCTTATGCCCTTGACCTTTCTTACTAGTATTTAGACACAAAGGCCCATTCCTACCAGCAGCAGGAAAAGCCTTATTCTCTGTCATAGGGGTGCTTCTACCAGCTGAGAGAGAAGGGAAGTGCATATGATATAGGCTTGTGGAGCGCCGGAAGTACACACAACAAAAGCTGTATCCCTGTGGCTCCAGAGCCCACGTGCATCTATGTCTGAAGAATTGATAATGTACTTGTGGAGCATTTTGAAAAATATTTTATTCAAAATTTTTAACATTTTATTTACGTTCAAGGTTCTACAACTATATGTGTTTCACAATGCAGGAAATACACAGTACAAGTAGGCCATGAAATTGAATGTTTCCAAATCATTCGCATAGAACATGCACAGTCTTATCATTAGCAACAAGCAACTCCATGCGTACAGCACTACCAAAGCACTTCAAGCACCTTACACAGAAGGTTAAGAGAAGGAAAATAGTTACAACTAGATTAGGAAACAGAGAGGGTTGGCTCAAGTTTAAAACCCTGCCTGGCTCAGATGTGGTAGTTCCAGCACCCCCCTCCCCCCAACACTTTCAGCCAAACAAATTGCTATCACTGGGAGGATCATTTCTCTAGATCAGTGTTTCCCAAACTTCTCTATAAACTATATGTTCCCAAAAATTCTAGTTTAGCACTTCTTAGTTGGGATTTAGGAATCTGTATTTTAACAACTCCACCAGGTGATTCTCATCATGAGAGAAGTTTGGGAAACACTGCTTTAGAAGAAGGCCAGTTTCTGCATGATGCTGAGAAGATGCCTCCTCCTGGGCACAGCCAGGGCAGGGGTGTGTGTGTGTGTGTGTGTGTTGAGAGAGAGAGAGAGAGAGAGAGAGAGAGAGAGAGAGAGAGAGAGAGAGAGAGAAAGAGGGAAGAAAAATATTCTGCTCAACCAACCTAATTGTTTATAATTGAACAAAGAAGCTGCTTGCTTTCCAATTTAGGTTTTGCTTCATAGAAAAATATGGAAAATACTAAAGGAATCCCAAATGCCCTGTGGCACAGTTTATCCTCTGCAAAAAAGCAGAGAAATTTATGTTTGAATTTCTCTTCTAAGGAAACCTAGTCCTAATCTAAGGGTCAGGTGCAGTGTTTACAGGAGCAGATTGGGAATCACAGCAGAGGTGCATTCAATAGCTGACTCCATCCACATCAGCTGTGCCCCTGGGAGGCTTGGGGAGAGGCGGGTGGAGATCTGACTCTGCCACCACATAGCTGTGGGGTCCTGGGCAAATCTCTTCCTTCCTGGGGCCTCAAGTTTCCTCTTCTGTAAATTAAACATTAGACCTGGCGATAGCTAAGGTTCCTTCCAGCTCTAGAATTACATACAGCTAAGCAGAATAAAGGATGTCATTAGAAGATCAAAGAGACATGCTCATATAAACAGAGAAGCCCTGCTATTCACTTATTTTGAGAAAGCAACTAGTTGATTTTATAAAATAAGCATAACCAACGGGCACTAGTCCTATTCAAGCACGCTAGAAAAAAGCAAGCATCTCTTTAAAAATCCTATAGCCAAAAAGGTGTTAAAAAACAAAACAAAACAAAACAAAATCCAAATAACAAAGGTTCAAGCTTATCCAATCATTTTTAGTAAGAACTCCCCATAGGCCTTGCTAATTCATTTACTTTTATTGCCTGTTTTGGGGCTGTTAGGGGTAAGGGACTTTGCTTTAGTCACATCACATGAGAATAAGGCCAGGGGATGCTGTTTTCCCCTCTGATTTACACTCTATGCATAGCCTGTATCTTTTCCAATCCTATGCCCCTGGGAGTCATTTTGGATGCTGCAATCAAATACGTATTAATAGCCGAACATTGGAAACCAAATACATTTTTGTATATTGTAGAGGAATCATTTGGAGAATTTTCCATGAAGTGTTCACTAGTTTTGAGCTTTATTTAAAAGCAATACAACCTCCAACTATTAGAATGTTAACAAGATAACATTACCTGAAGTCTTCAAATATCTTGTATGTCACAATTTCAATGATCATATTAGAGAATAAAGGTTTGATTCTGATTAACACTACTCTTTCAAATAAGTCTATGTAATATAATAACATGTCATTTAATTTCCTAATCTAGTAAAAGGACTAAACTATCATCAATATTTTCAGAAAATTTCTTCTAGTACATTCACATTTTGTGCATTCTATTTTATGACAAGATACCCACACTACAGTAATTTTTCTTTCCAGATTTATTCTATATAATCATTTCATTTCCATTAACTGATTTATCTCTATTTCATTAGCCTAATTGGCTTTCTCAAATTGCTACCCAAGACCAAAACATTTTAAAATTTAGAAAATATTTGGTATCACAAAGACCAGCAATAAAACACAAGTGAGGAGAACAGATTTAGCCACTTTCCATCGTGTTTGTGACATCACTAAAAGACACGTTCTAGGGTGGTTCTCAATAGTTCCTTCCACAGATTACACAGAAGCATATCCAAATAATCTTCCAAAACGCAGTTGGACAAATATGGAACATTAATATTCTGTCTTTAAAAAATTTTAAAATCTCAGGGCTTCTGAGGTACTGGAACTGCCTGGATAAGAAGGGACTCTATGCTTGTCAGAGTGGCCAGCAACTCGAGGCCCTCGAGAACCTGCCGCCTTCCGGAGTCCTGCTCCCTCCTTGGCCCTGCTGTGCCTACCTAATACACACAAGAGATAACTTTATAGCCAAAGTGGAGTCAACAGGAAAAAATCAATTCAAGTACATAACTTAATGTCTGTATCACACACTCCATGCCAGGAAAAGACAGTAAACTTTCAGCTGAGTAGACTATGTCCTTAGGTGGAAGTCAGACCAGATTCTGAGGCAGATTGGCAAGAGGAGAGTACAGTTAGAAGGGACAGACTTGGTTCTTCCATTAGAACCTGGATTCATCTGAACCATTCACCTTCCCCTTTGGCTGCTAATACTTTTATTATTTTTAAAAATACAGTCAGCACTAATGAAGGATATTTTGAAAGGAATACAGGAGGCTTGTGCTATGAAGAAGCACATGTTATAGTTGAGTGAGGATGGATCTTTCTCAAGAGTGAACTATGAGGATGAAAGACCAGAAGCCATTTTAAGTTCAATCAATTTTTTTTTTCTGGTTAATTTAATGAGTTTTGTCAGGCAAGGAACACGTGACTTATGTGGTCCAAGAAATGATTGATAAGATGCCACAGAAGAAAGTCTTTCCACCAAAATTTGTTAGGAACAAACACATAACTCTATAAACAAGACTATGTCTGATATCAAATCAATACACCAAAGTTAATGCAGTAGATACCACACAGGCCTGGAGATGATTCCAGAATGCTTACTTCCCAAACTGAAGGTGAGCAAATGTCCAGAGCTTTGGTCCACATATTCATTTTATCAAAATTAAAAATGTTTTTTCTCATTATTTTTGCTGCAGCCTGTTCTAAGAACTTTACTCTGGATCTTAATATAGTCAAATCATAATTTGTTAAAAGAATAACTTGTCAATTTAATATAGTAACTTTTCAGAAATTTCTTCAAAAAATGGTTAAACTTAAGGTCTTACAGTGGTGTATTGAGGAGCATGGGTAAATAAGAACACATGATCCATTGCTACAAGGTGTTGCCTTTGTCTCGCGAAGCCAGATTGCTCACAAAATGCAGATCACAGTAAGAAACGCTGGGTTACCTACCTGACATAGAGGGAGCGTTTCTGATTGGTTCGCAGGGACCCGGACCCGGAGCTCATGCTGTGGTTCATCATCTGCTCTCGTAGGTCATGGATTTTGGCCTCAAATCGGGCGTAATCTGGGAATGGAAAAAAGGGTGTTACATTTGGTTCTGTTCCTCCAGAGAGTTGGAAATGCTGCCCACCTGAGGCAGCCCTTTGCCCGGTTGTTGGTTTCTTTGCCAGGCAACAGGAAGGTGCACAGTCAAGAACAGTGAACACTCAACCTTCACTTCTTTGTATTATTATTATTATTTTTTTAAAATATATTTTTATTGATTTTTTACAGAGAGGAAGGGAGAGAGATAGAGAGCTAGAAACATCGATGAGAGAGGAACAGCTGCCTCTTGCACACCCCCCACCGGGAATGTGCCTGCAACCAACGAACATGCCCCTGACTGGAATCGAACCTGGGACCTTTCAGTCCACAGACAGACGCTCTACCACTGAGCCAAACTGGTTTCGGCATACTTCTTTGTATTATTTACTTGCAGACATTCACAAGAGGAAAAGAACCAGTTACTTCCAAAAACATAGCTAGAAAATATACTGCCATTCCAATCTCTGAAAAGTCCTCAGGAGGAGGGTGTGGTTATAGTGGGCAACACAAGGTACCTTTGTGGTAATGGAAATGTTGTCTGTCTTGACTGTGGTAGTAGATACAGGTACCTGTGCGTGTGATCAAATGACATAGAACTCACTAGAAACACACACACACACACACACACACACACACACACACACACACACACGTCAAACTAAAAGAATTGAAATAAGTTTGATGAATTGTGTTACTATCAATATTCTAGTTGTGATAATATGCCTAGTTTTACCAAAATGTTATCATTGGGGAAACAGAATAAAAGGTACAAGGGATCTCCCTGTATTATTTCTTATGTCTGAATTACATGTGAATCTATAATTCTCTCAAAATAAAAAAGCTTAACTTAGAGAAGGGTGGAGGGAATCTATGGAACTACTAATGTTACGGAGTTTTCTGTGAGTGTCCAGTTACATCAGCTGGATGGACCAGAGAATCAAGATTTTGTGATGATTTATGTAAAAAACATCATTCAATTTTGCTGGTTTTTTTTTTTCATTTTTTTTCCCTGCTGGAGGGCTGTTAGAAGTTGATCACTTGGAGGCATACCTCAGTTTTGTCCTATAACTTTAATATAAAGTCTACAAGTTCATCAATTCTAAGACACAATATATTTAAATCAACTCCTCAGGACCTGGGGATAAAGAACACTCCCATAATAAGATGCCACAGAAATTTTTATATAAAATATATTTTAGAAGTTTTAAAATATATATGGGTCTAAAAATTAAGAAAATATAGGTATTTTATATTCTTTTTATAGGAAAAATATTTTTCCAGTATACAGTTTTACAATGCGTCTTCTGTACATTGTTTTGTGTTTACCACCCCAAATCCAGTCTCCTTAAACCTGTGTAATTTTATTAACCAATGTCACCCCAATAAATTTAATTAAAAAATAAAATAATATTTTTCCCAGATGTCAACTGAGTAAAAATAAAGAATAAAGGTTCTAAGATACTTTTTAATACAATCAGCATACAAAAAAGAAATAGCTTTTGAAGTTTTGATATTCTTGATCAAAATTTGTTTTATCATCTCTTTGACACAATAGTGTCTTTATCCAGTCGCAGAAAGGCTCAATTTATCCTTAAGATAAATGTGAAAATGTTAGCTTGTTAGCTTACGTTATAAATGATTCATTAAATTACAAAGAAACTCATCTGAAAAATTTTTAACAGAGGTTCTCAGTACATTTCAAAAAACAATTTGATTTTTAATTTAATTTATTCATAAGTTTACATAAAAACAAGAATGACTAAGTGTATATAATTAATATGATCTACTTATAGTCTATTTGAAATCCATCATGAATAAAAAGCTCCATGAAATTAAACTGAAACTCAATTTACTAAATACCTATCGATTTATTGTGGGATGGAATTTAATGAAAGAAAATATTTGACCTTGGTGTTCAATGATAGCCAACAAATGACCTCTGAATGTTAAGTATTTTTAAAGTTTAATACTGTAAAGATAAAACAAATGATTGATGGAAAATCTTTAGTGCTTAAGTAAAATCTGTTGTTATCTAGATTTATAAAGCTGCTTGTTTCAAAGTTAGCTTTGAATAATTAAATTATAAATGATTAAGCAGAACACATGCCTAATCTAAACTCTATTGACCATAATTTAATATTTACTTTATTCCATTTTATCAGAGGGAGAAAACATTTGTAACCATTAATGTAATGCTGCATATGGATTTAAATCATTTTGTGCAAGTCTTATTTTCTTGTCATCTGAATCATCATTGCTGGCCAGATGGCAGAGCCTGTGCTCACAGCTGCGTGGGCATTATTTCATCTTATTTAAGTTATAAAACAAAGTCCATGGATGTTGTAAAATTTGAACCCTATAGAAAAGCAAAGAATAAAAACTGAGAGGTTCTCTTGTCTCTTCTCTTTTCTCTTACTGCTATCCTTCCCGGCTGCTTTACTCTGGATATTTTTCCTACCTTAAACCAAATATATAGACACTTTCTTAAAAACAAACAAACAAATAAACATATTTTTTATTGATTTCAGAGAGGAAGAGAGAGGGAAAGAGAAACATCAAGGATGAGAGAAAATCTCTTATTGACTGCCTCCTGCACACTACCCATTGGGATGGAGCCCCCAACTGGGCATGTGCCCTGAGTGGAATCAAACCAAAACCACCTGGTTCATAGACAGATGCTCAACCACTGAGCCACACTGGCTGGGCACCATGTTTCTTAATATCTTTAATCATATTCCATAGTCTGTAATTTATTTAACAATTCTCAAATAGGTAGATACTGTGTTTCCCCAAAAATAAGACATCCTCCAAAAATAAGACCTACTTACAGGTTTCCTTCTGAGTGAAATATAATGCATCCCCCCCAAAATAAGCCCCCACCCCCAGCTAAACATGAGAGATTTGGTTCACTGGTTCTGAAAGAAATGGAGTCACAAGAAATTTACCAGGAAATTCAGGAATTGGATTGTTATGATGATGTTCCAGAAGATGATGACATGATTGTCATTGAATAAATGAGTAAATTCTTGATACTGTAGGATTCACAGTTTGTCTGGTTTGTGTTGACAACTACCATACTACCGTACCATATACAGGTAATACATTTCCTTTATTTTCATTTAACAATAAATTTGTACCATATTCTTCTTCATGGAAAGATAAGACATCCCCTGAAAATAAGACCTAGCGCATCTTTGGGAGCAAAAATTAATATAAGACACTGTCTTATTTTGGGGGAAACAGGGTACTTTCCTGTTGTACGTGCACACATTTATGGCAGGTTAGTAGAGAACCATAGTGCAAGCAACGGCCACAGCTTTTGTAGAACGTCAACAGCCCCCATCAGCATTTCTCAGAGAAGATAATCTGGCCCAGGACACAGAGTGGAACTCTTAGCTTTTTCTGATTCATGATCCCTGTGGCCACTTGATTAATACCACATACTGCTCCTCCTCTGAACCACTAAGTCTTCCATATGTTCCCAGGCCTCCCTCCTTTACAACTTTGATGACCTCACTGCCATGCTAAAACCCTGAAATGCTACCTCCAAGTGTCCCCCCTTAAGCATCTAATTCAGTGCCAGTCTCCTATCCCATTTGATCACGTGGCTGCTCCTTGCACCTAATTGCAGTCATTTGTGCAGGTGCCCATCATCCCCATTGGATCGAGCTGAAGGCAGAAGCCACGTCTCACTTTTCTTGGAATTCCCTTTACTAACATCATGTTGGGTATGCAGGCAGCATTCATAATAGGCTCCATAAACATTTTCTGAATGAATAGATAAATGAGTGAGGACACCAGCGAAACCATCCAATGAATTCATTTATAAAATGCCTGCAAGTACTGAGATTCCCTCCCTCCCCCCACAACACACACACACACACACACACACACACACACACACACGACAGTTTGAAAAGCTGGGATGGACAGGACCAGGGCCCATGGGGGTGGAGGGGGCGGGATTTAGCTGGACATCAGGCATTCCTCCATTCAGGTTTAGCAGAAAACACTGTCATGGATAAACCCCTCACAGGGCAGCACTATGACTGCCAAGCAGGAGGGCTGGGATGGTGGGAGTACGGGGTGGGAGAGGGTGGGGGAGGGAGGAGGTGAGAGGAGAGTAGGGGGATGGCCCTAGGCACCCTAGGCTCTGCTGAGCCCCTTGGTCAGCAGGGTTTCCACATCAGTGGTCGGCAGCAGCGGCTGTACCAGCGCACAGGACCACCAGGAACTTCTGGAAGTTCCAGGCGATGGCATTGCGGCGTACCTGAGACCGGGTGGTGAACTTGGGTTCCTTCAGGAGCGCAGAGTGTGCGGGCAGAACTTCCCGCAGGAAGAGGAGGAGAGGCAGCGCCTGCGCTGCCCTTCAGCGCGCACTTCCCCAAGCGTGTGAAGTTGGGCTTGAACCTGCTGCCAGGTCTGACGCTTCGCTCCTTTTTAATGTTGGCGTTCTCCTTATGATCGAACTAGCTACACCTGAGGCCAAGCCCGAGCCCAAGGTGCTCTGCAGCGCGTCCACCTGGTGCAGTCCCCATCACTGCGCTCAGAGCGTGGCCACATCTCAATGAGCAGCACCTGGCCCCGCGGGGAGCCCGGAGTCCAGGGCTCCCACCGCCAGCTGCGCTGCGCAGGAGGCGTGGGTATCAGAGAAGGGAGCGCCCGGAACCGAAATTGCCTATTTTTTAATATTAAGATTTTTTTTTAAATGAGGAAAGACAATTCGCTCCTCCTTCTTTCAAGGCTAGTTATTCTAATTCCAAGGCTTTATTCCTGTCGAATCACTGCCACTCCCGAATCCTTTTTATTTTTTTCTATTTTCTGGGCAGTTTCTTTCCTCTCTCCCCATCTCAGCTGTGTCATATACATTGGAAGCATTTCTCTGATACTAACTCAACCTACGATTGATCGATTGATCGACCAGCACTTTGTAAGGCGCTTCTAGCTGCTACATTTTATATATCACAACAGGATACTTGC